TTTGCCCACTTTTGACATTCAGGGAGCAGCGGCTCTATAATTCCAAAGCTATTAGCATCAAAGCAATTCCTAAACAGTCTCAGTTCAGTGGGCTGGGATATAGATTTAGTAGAAAGATGCTTAGTGGAACACTTAAATGCAGTTGATGCAAATTACTATTGAACTGAAAAGTGAAGGCAGCGAGGTTTAATATGAGGCAACTTTATTGCACCTTCTTGTTCCTCGATTTTTCCATGGGAGCCAAATTGAACACAATCAGCCGGCGGGACGATTAAGGATAAGTAATGCAGACAAAAAAGTGAGCCGAGGACCTATCTGTCTGAGGCAGGAGAGGTAATGATAACAGGAAGTGAGATGAGTTGGCGTTGCCCTTCGGCCCACCAACCCATCACCTCGGTTAAAAAGGTCCCTCTCTATAAACAGGCCTCTCTCTGGCTATTAAACAGATAGTACATTAGGCCTGAGCTCTGCAGAATAATCTAAACACAGCCGTCACGTCCACTGCGGGTGAGGGGGGGGTGATGGGGGGGGTTGAGGAGAGAGGGCTAGACATTGGGGCTATTCCTGGGTCTTCCAGCGAGTGATCCTCATTCCTCCTTTTCTCGTCCACCATAATCCTCTCTAACTAAACACAGGAAGGAAGAGATAGGTAAATAACTCCATCTTTTGATAAACCCAGCTCCTTTCCCTCCAGTTTCAGGATATTTGCTATGCGTAGGTGCAGAGTTTGGTGGATATATGTTATGCAGAAAGATGTGTGTGCAGAGTGTATGGCAGAGACAGAGGATAAGCATCTACAGGGAAGTGCATTATAAAGCTTGGTTTTGGGGGGAAAATAGAAAAAGAAGAAAAAAGAAGGGACAGAGAGAGCACTATGTTAAGAGGTAGGCAGGAGATGATCCCGAATCTCCCATGGCTTGCCCTAAGTACCGATCTGTGTTGCTCCAGGGTTGGATGAGGGACAATGTGGTAGAGAAAAGGATGGATTGGGAGACGGTCAGTCCAGGTCAGTGCAGATGTGAAGCTGTTAAACAGTGGGGATCTGGAAGGGGTCAATGCTGGACTTTTTCAGGGCAGCGCCCTGGAGTCATTCACACTCCTTTGTTACGAACGGCGGCGAGCTACATCAAGCGACGGGGACACGGCGGAGATGCAGAATAAAAGGGGAATGTCTGGGATGTGGGGACAGGCTCCATACCCCGGGGAAAGACCAATTACTGGCTTAAAGCCCCCCTGTCTGTCTATCGCATGCAGCTCAGATAAGAGTAGAGCTGCTGTTAACCAATACCAACATCTGTTGCATCAGAAATGACACAATCCAGATGTTACATATATAAACAACTATATAGGCTTCTGCATTTTTTAAGGATCTTTGCTCTTTCTTCCAGCTTTTCGTGGGTTTTTCTGTCAAATTACAAATGTCCTGCCGATCTACGTGATTAAGGCTTTACAGGTCAGTATGTGTCCAGGGGGGGTTTAAGGGGTGGAGGTGAAGGGGTCACCAGTCTCTAGGCCAGAACAGTGACACTGTCCTGGGGGTTGTTAATGGTGAACGATCCCGTTGATCAGATCCGGGAGTATGATCATTTATAACACAGACAGAGGCACACACACTCAGTTTGGAGTCTTGGGACCCTGATTGGCAAACTCATCTTGAAGCAAAAAAAAAAAAAAAAAAGGCTAGAAGAAAAAGGTCAAGCCCTGCAAACTGTGACAAACTGTTTTTAAGTTAAAAAAAAAGTGCTTTGGTTGCTTCACCAGCAACTAAAGCCTCAGAATTTCTCTTTCACAAGAAAATCTTGACTTCTGTCTCATTTGGCATCGCTCCTCGCATGTGTTGTTTTTGTGTTGTTGTTCATAGCAAAAAAAAATGTTTAGGTTTTTCAAGTGGAGTACACTTTTCACTTTCTTTGTTTCCTGTATTTGTTACAGAAGCTGCAGCCACAAGGATGACGGAAGCCATTTAGAAAAAAACTCTTAAAGTAGAGTGAATGATAGGAATGATGCCTAATTTTGATATCTTCATATTTGAAAATATGAAATTGCAAAAACGCTCCAAAGGTTTGAAAGAATATTTTCAAATATTCAGGTTGCTATTCTTAATTAATTAAATGTATCTCTAACATTACATGTAAAACAATATTTGATTAACATTATGTACATTTTGGTAGCTGGTGTCTATTCCAATATCCCACTACAGACACTTTGACACGGTACCCATTCCAAATACAATGCAGGCCCACAGTTGCTCAAACTCACTTTTGAAAACCCACCCCCTTTTTTCTTTTTTCACATATAAAAAACTGACGCTCTCATATTTTCATTGTTTTTTTTGTTTGACAGCAACGTTCTGTGAATAATGAAGACGGCTTCTGTTTATCCTATTGTACTCTTGGATTTTGACAAATTAAAACGGAGGTTAAGGGCAATGGCTTTGGATCTCAAGCTCAATTTAAGTCGCATTTTCACTTCTTCAGACTTAAACACAAACATGCGCAGAGACGGAGATAAGAACCAGACGGGCGGTTTGAGAGACCCCCATGGGAGATGGGGACACGCAGCCCGCCACGGCCTTTCTGTCAGAGCGCCGCTGCGACCAGTAATAACTCCGGACTTGAATGTTTGCAGAGGCGCGCCCTGGGAGTCCCGGCAGAGAGAAGCAACAGGCCCGGGTTGAGAGGGGTTACCACCTCTTCTAATGTGCAGTGATGCGACAGACTTCTCAGAGGCAGGATGAAGGGTACACAGCGGCCACCGTCAAAAGCCTGATACCAGAAGATGTGCTCAGACTCTGCTGCCCAGCAGGAGGGGTGTGTGTGTGTGTGTTTCGGAGGCCTGCTGGCTGGGCCGTTGATGGGAAAGGTGCGTCTGTGATGTTCTGGGAAGTGGTGAAAGAGAAAGTCTGTTGAGTTTTTCTCGCTGGCCGCACCACCCGGTCTCTAACGCCGAGCATGTCTAGCACACACATTCTTCAGCTGCGGGTTGGACCTCGACCAAGTCTGCTCAATCTGACCCATTCAGACTGAAACAACCCAGTTCCATGCCAGACGGAGTAAGCCCAGGCCGACGAGGAGGGGGGGGGTATAGGTGCGAGCAGGGTGGCAGTGCCAGACAAGAAGATATCTGGCCGTCTCACACAAATGTAAGCACTATATCACAGAGGCCATAAATCCAGTGGCAGGATAAATGCCAAGTTTCCTGCAAACCACATTTTCTATCGTAGTCTGACTAACGTGCCAGCCCCCACAACCACATCAGTGCACTTTTAATTATTAATCTCCAGCTGCAAGATGCTCCACAGGTATATTGCTGTTGCTGTTTCACATCTGCAAAAGCTGAGGTCATTTCCTGATCTTTTTTTTTTTTTTTTTTTTTTTTTTTAAAACATGACTTCATCACAGAAAAGTTAGGCTGCAGCTGAGAAAATGCTGTCAAGGTCACAAAGTGGCCATTACACTTTATTTTGCACGGATAACTTCTGGGAAAGCCGAGCACAAGGCAAAGCCCTGAACCGGATAGCCCGCTCGCCTCAGTGACGCTGCTGCCCACTGCGAGGCCCCGGCGTATCGCACGTGTTAGCCTTCATGAACTCAAACTGTCCACTGGTGATGGAGGGTCCACTCCTGACCAGCAGCAGCCCCTCATGCACAGTCAAGCGGGACAAACACGTCTCGGCCGCCGGGCTGTGCTGAGAGGCCCTTTAAGCCGGCCATTCCCTGGACTAATGAACCTCTCTGCCTCAATGATGAGCCAAAAAAAAAAAAAAAAACTTATATGGAAATGAAAAAACAAAAAAACACAGGGGCAGAGAGGACACACAACACATTTCGCCTAATACCTCAATAAAACTGAGAGCCACTCTGATTGCGAGCTCTTCTATCGCGCTCAAGGCCTGATTTCTGTGATCTGATTTTCAAAGAATTTTCTTCTGAACTGAAGCCAAGTAGTTTGGTATATAAAAAAAAAACTCTTTTTTTTTTTCACACAGTCGCAATCATTCTAATGAGCCCTCGCTCCACCTGTTGATATGGTCCGGTTTGCTCTGCGTGACTAAAAGGGGAATGGAGCGGTGAGAACGTTTCCCCGAATGATCCAGGTACAGCCGACAATCACGGGGAGTGGGGGGGTGGAGGGGATCAGAGTGGAGTCATGGAGTAAATGGATACTGGAGCTAAAAGCCCTAAAGTCTTCTTCCTTTATTTAATAAACGAATGGCCCTAGCTGAGCGCCGAGGTTTAAGAGGTTGTTTTCAAATTCCAGTTTGGCATGGGCCATGACTGAGGGCTTGTTTTACTTTTCCGCGATTTACTTTAATAAGTTCCTAAATAACTCTGCTTGTCCTGTTGCCTGTGTTACGGCTTCAGGAACACGGAGAGTTTTGAGGAGAACAAGAGTCGAGGGAGGCAAAGGGCGAAATGGAGATAGCTTTAGTGTTAGTTAGCTCTGAATTTGGCAATAACAGACTGCGGACTCTGCATGACTGATGCATAATTAGCCGTAATCGCTGCTGAGGAGGTGAAGTAAAAAAAGTGAGCAACAGATGACTGTTGCTCGTCCAGCTTTTGATTCATCCGTATCACATCTCTCTCATCACCTTCGTCTCTCCATGAGACTTGCTCTCTGAGCTTTCTGAAGTAAAACACATGAGTGTGTCCCTGCCCTCCATCGTAATGTGGACCTCCTCCCCCTATAGACCCAAAAGTCCTCTAGACATCATGCTGGACAACCGGCCATTTACTGGATCTGAATGCTTTACCTACCAACAAAACTCACCTTGTTCATGTGGGAGAGGAATCTCTCTCTGTTTTTTTAAAACAATCATTCTTTAAGTTAATCATGTCTTCATATGTGAAAAGACAATTTCTTATATCAGAAATCCAATTTTCCAGTTAAACCCCTTAACGAAAGGGCCGGCAGGCCTCCCATTTTTTTAATGTTGCCCCCGATTTCATAGCCTGTGACACGTGTTGGTTAAGTTGGAGGAAGATGAGTTCACACACCTGCAGCAGAAGCCTCTCAGAAGCCAGGCAGGCGTCCCAGCGGGGCATGGCGGGGTGGCGGAGAGCCTGCGCCGCGGCCAGGCCCAGCTGGAGCACCCCGCAGTTACTCTCCAGTGCCCCCCAACTGCTCCGGAACAGTCTGATGTCGGAGCGCAGCTGCTCGGGGGTCACGTGAGCTGAAAAGAGGGAACGATAGCAATTTATCAACAGTAAAATATGGAATAAATGTACACACTTTATCATACGTACAGGAAACAATCATCCGTTGTGCTATCTGCTTGCTGGTATTCACACACACACACACACAATGAAAGAAAAAGAAAGCGAGACGACAAGGAAAACATTCGAACAATTCCCAAGCATCAAACTATCGTCTTATGGCAAAGGTGAACGGCTGATACCACAGCAGTGTAGTTTTATCTTAATTAGAAAAAACTGTGTAGCAGTGTATTCAACACACAAAAAGAAAAAACTTTAGTGTTGTCAGTGGCATATGAGTCACTTTGTGTGTGTGTGTGTATAGATATATACACACACACACATATGTGCTTGTGTGAGTGTTGTGTGAGCTTTGTCATGTCTCCATATAGCTGAGGTGAGACAACACTGATAGAGGCTGCTGAGAGCCCTCTTGAGTGTGACTAATAAGTGTAAATCAGAGATTTTGGACGATTATTTATAGCGGCGACAGAAAGAGGCCAGGCAGATCAAAATGTTTGGGATCCTCTGACACGGGGCGGGACGCGTCAAGGCACAGGGATATAGACGGGGCACACATTAACTCTCCATAAAGCCCACTCCTTCATGTTGATGTTCTCAACCAGCACCAGATGTGGGAGTATTTCCTGTCGGACTACATGGCCAGTGTTTTCTTTAGTGGGGCCAAACACATGAGTAGGAGAGATACAGGCAGTAAAGGTACAAAAAAGAAAAGAAATAAACACCCCCCAAAAACGTCTGTAAAAAAAAAAAACTATAAAAAGAAAAAGTCAGAGCAAATTGAAGTAATCATCAAGGGAGGCACGGAATAGCCATCGATTTTCATAATCAAATACATCTCTGCCTGTTGGAAAACTTTCTTTCCAAAGAACAAAGCAAGTGTCTAGTTGAGTTTCTTTCCTTTTGAAATTAAAGTCATTCTGAAGAATAAGCCTCACTCCAGACATATTCAGAATACTGAAAAGCTCTATTGTGCACATATCCAGCCATAAAAGCCCTGGCAAGCGCGAGTGAAGTTCGCCAAGCTGGATGTGCCAACCATAATTCAGCACAGAGGCAGGAAATACGTGCAAAGCCAGGACCCAGTTCACTCCAGAAACGGGGCAACGGAGGCCGAACGTAATCTGGCTTTACAGCTAAAGCGGACCAAACGACAGTGAGTGAGAAAAATGGAAGACGTTTGAACGTTTGAAGTCAAAAAGGGTTTTAAGCCAAGAAAGCCGCACAAAGCCTGCTCTCCATTACACACTCCAACAATCCTGGCCGAGCCTTGGCTCTTATCTATGTCACTGAACTTCCCTCAAAACAATTCTGTGATTCCTCAGTCATCTTGTTGCCAGATGAAAAAAATGAATCCAAGGGCGATGATCTGTCAGCTGAACGCTGGAGTTTGGAGCTTGGGTGTTTCTGTTCTGTAAGTAAAGCACATGTAAAAATGCACTCCCATTTAGGATGATTCATGTTTGGTCTCGTAACTACTTTAAACGTTGTATATTCTCGGAGTTCACAAGAAGTGTAATTATATTACATATGTATATATCTGTCATATCAACAGTGCCCCCCAAAAAGATTGTTGAAAGATCAGATGAGGTGTGCATGAAAAAAACACGTTTTTCCAAATACAGCCATGACATGCACATGTGCTTTTTTTTGTCCACAGGCACCATGTACCAGATGTCTCAGGTATCGTTAGTGCTTCCATTTTTTGCTGCTTTTAACCTAAAATGGGAGAGAAACCTGAGCCTTTGGCCATTTTAATGTTCTTCTGTGTGCACTTATTGCAAGAACCGCCATAAAACAAAATCACATTTGGATTCTCATGCTAGGAGCAGCCTGAACTGGAGTCCATTGCGGCCTGATGTGCAAAAGTGGCAACTGAGAGACGGTCGTGATCAAAGTCAGAAACAATGCAAAAAGGGGTAGAGGCCAGCAATAATTTAGTCCCGTTACTGGAAGATGACTTACATCCTAGGTGTTCGGGGTTACGCGGGGGCTACGGGTTGTCTGAAGAGCTGTGCTCTGGCCCGCCTCAGCAGCTGGATAACCTCACAGGCATTAGGGACACAGGAAGACCGAGACATTTATTTATGTGCTCCAAAGGGAGGAACGTCCTCAAACTTTTATTTGTGGATACATGTTGAGGCCCCCCTCACAACTCTGTACTGTACATGAAAATACACACTAGACTGAAGCACACCACTACATGACTCTGGCTTTTGCGAGTGTCGGTGTTGAAACAGCTTCTATTTGTTGTTTCTTTTCAGCAATATTAGAAATTAAACACGGTCTATCGCTTTGCATTTTGATGCTCTATAAGTCTGATAGTTTGTTTTGTATAATGTATCAAGTGAAATCCTGAAAAGAAATCTTCCAAAACTAAAAGCTAGTCTTAGTAATAACCAGCTAACAGTGACAGTGCTTGTGCAAAGCAAGGCCTTTAATTGGCATCTGATTAAAAGTAAAAACTGATATGCAGATAGTTATTTTTTTATTATCTGGCACTTGACTTTAAGTCAGACAATCAGGCAAAGTCCAGAAAAATAGAACAATCTGCAGATTTAACATCTATTCACGATTAGATCATTACTAAAGCGTGTCCTAAATTTGATCAATCCATGCAACAATCCCTGAAATTGCATAACAAAAAGTTGCGTTACTCCATGTTGGTGTAGTTGTGTGACTTAAGGTCTGCCAATTTCCCTACGATGCTTCTTTTGTGTCATGAAGTCCCTATTACACAAACAGATCTTAAGAATTCTGTGGAGAAACTGACTTGTTTGCTTCCCAAAAACTTTTTTGTTTTTGCATTTGAATCCCAGACAGGAACAGAGACTGTATAGTGGTATGAGCAGAGAAGCTGAATCACTGGCCAATTCTAATTATGTTACACTTTTTTCATCAAAAGAAAAAGAAAAGGAAAATAGCAGGTGGCGTCCTTTGATCCTTTACTTTCTTACTCACTGCCTCGGGCCTTTTTAGGAACGCTCCAATAAACTTGGCACATTGATCGCTTGGAAGTTTTCTCCATTCTTTTCGAGCAAAAACATTCAAAGCACATCCAGGTTAAACGGGCAGTGTAAGTGCCTGGACGTTTTTAGATCCAACTCAGAGGAGTTGCTATGCTAGGTTCAGGTCCAGATTCTGGGTGGATCGCTTTAGGATTTCCATGGAGATTTCCTGAAGCCAATCCTGAGTTTTCTTGGCACTTTCCTTCGGGCGTGAGCCCGAGATACGGGAACACTGGAAAAGGTTTCAGTCTATATCGCAGGAAAAGCATTTAGCTTACCTTTTTTGTTTTTGACTTAGCTGGAATGAGGTCATATTTGTTGACTCTAATTTTGTTTGCATTTGTAGTCTGAACTAATATCGCAATGTTACATCATACTGTCATTTTGTGACACACGCTGCTCTTTTAATGTACATCAATTACTCTCTGTTTGCTGTTTATCTGGTTTTCTTGGTGCACTTTGGAAAGTTTATTCAAAGCCTTTTGTTTTCTTCGACTGCCTGCATCTCATGTCAGCTTGCTTTTGAGCTCGTCCTTTGAAGAACACGACGCTGTGGAAATGGAATTTATTCGGGCTCTCCCGCTTAACAAATGACCCAAACAATAGTGTATCAAATGAGTCCATTTGAAGATGAGAACAAAGCGTTGCAAATTTAGGAAAACTTTGTTGTAAGAACACCAAACAAACCTTCTTTCCATTCAATGTTGAAACCAGCTATTTGACACCTCCCTTTTCCCTCCACTGGCCGAAATCTAATTTCTTGAAATGATGAACCCAATCGCTTGCCTCTCTGAGACTCTCTCCTTTCTGCTGTTTTCCTGCTCCACAGGAAGAAATCCATTGTCAACACATCTCATTTGCACTCCAGTGTCAAGTTTACTCTGTACACAAACTGTATATAATCTTGTGATGCGCGCATATGCGCACACACAGATAAGAGATAAACGCATGCCTATGGGCAATGAAACAGTAGATGTCTGACTAATTCTCTGTTAAAAGCAAAAACACCCAAGGAAAACACTGGACACAGCCGCGTACTGTACATGTCCGCACACACAGCGAGGGAATTTCATCATCCTGTTGTGCTATGAGAACTCGGGCTCTGAGAAACGGCTTATTTTCTCTGCCTCTCTGTGGATGATCTTATCCTGTTGAGAAGCCAAGTTGAGTCTGTGAATATGTGGGAATACGGGGCCTGTAGTTCCCCGCTACGAAACGTCCAGGGCTGATCTACAAAAGCCCCGGCAGAGCCCGGGACATTCTTGGATGCGGGTGGAGAAATGCGGCTCTCTCGGGGAGCGGATAGGTATTAATGCTAAGCATTTTGTGTTACTGGGTTCAGCTCGCTCTCATTTGAGTCGAACGTGATGGATTGAAAAGTCTGTTGGTGGTACGGGTGTGTGGGGATGGGAACCGTGTGGGGGTGTGCTGGGAGCTCAGGGGGGATTGGCGGACTGGTCCTGTGCCAGTGGGGTATAAAGATTCAGTGTGAGCGGGGTCTGAAAGTGCCCCCTTCTCTCCTGGCTTTTCTCGTTTGCTCTCTCTCTCTCTCTCTCTCTCTCTCACCAGACAGTGAACAGTCAGTCAGCGGGAAGGAGAAGCTTTTATGCCTTATAGTCCACATTTCCAAGGACTGATGTTGATCCCAAACGTGTGAAAGGAAAACCCTAATGTGCTGCTGCACAGGCGTTACAGGTTGGGTGTGTGCATGTGTGGTGTTAGTGACCTCAAACACATCACAGCCTTCCTTCTTACCAGAGGACCTTCTTTACCTCGCAGATTATAGGAGCTGAGGGACCACAACACCCTTCCCCTTTCTGCCTCCCTTTCAGCCAGATGTTAGCCTGCATATTAGGCCCCGTGTGCGAGCGTGCGTTTCTGGGGAATGATCGACACACATTACCTCCGCAAGGAGGAGGGGTAGCGTAAAGGTGAGCGTGCACAGGCGCAACAAAGGCCTGTGCGCGTAATGACTTTATTTTTTGCGTGCCGTCGCATATTTTTATACCTCGCTGCAGCCTCGCTTGCTTCATTAACGGACAACAAAAGTTGTTCGAAAAGCAGCGTGTGTGTGAGGCAGAGAGAGAGAGTGTGTGTGTGTGTGTGTGTGTGTGTGTGTGTCATGCAGTCAACATGTGGTTCAGATTTCCACTGTGGCCACATGGGCAAATCTATGGCGAGGCAGAGAGGCTGAATTTATGTAGGAGGCGCTGTGGTCCTGCTGCAAAACACTTCTAGAGAACACTTCTAGATACATTTTTTTTGCATGTGATTATTTGATGTGATGCAAATGTTCATGTTTGGTTTTTGACATGTTGCGTGTGGTTGGGTTTTGTGTTTAATGGGGACATGGCCTCCGGTCATGGCATTGGGGATCTTACCCGTGCCCGTCTTGATTGGCAGCTTCTCCTGGCTGGCCGCCTCCACCAGGTGCCGGTGGATCTCCGCCAAGCCCTCTTTCTGCTTCCCGGTCAGCATGGCCTCCCACAGTGACCTCGCCGCGGATGACCTAGCGGGCAGAAAGCCGCATGCAGGTGAGTCGTGGGAGAGGAGAGAAACGCTCAAACTACACAAAGCGCCGGGTTCAAACATGAAAGCAAAAAACATGGACGTGACTGAACGCTCGTCTGGCAGATAGCGAGCGGCTGGATATTAGCTAGGGAGGGGCCAGGACTCCCCCAGTGGGATGCTTCACGGGGAAAAGTTACAAGAAATTAGCAGAAGAAATGTTGAGAATGCGCCCAAGCCCCAACTAAAAATGTTCCCCAGGAATGAGGGGTAATGCCCTTCCATTGGAGGCAGAGCATAAGAGCCCGGAGTCTGAGACGCCTCTGGGTACCCATCGCAGGGCCCTCCTCGGTCCCCCGTCTCATTATCAGCTCGGTTATGAAACACCGCTGATCCGCATCTCTAATGGGGGACTGACAACACGGCTTGTGTGTAAGATTATTACCATCTGCCGCCAGCAGAAATAGCTCTGAGAACCAAAAAAGTGTCACAGCAGAGCCCTGTCATCATTACACCCACAGATAATGGCAGCTTTTCCCTGCAAGAGTTCCCTGTATCGGACTTCAAACTGCAGACAGACAATATATTTCAGTCTTAATTAGCCTCCTTTCAGATTCTTTTTTTCCCGTTAAAGGCCCCGTCACTTTGGAGGTTGGTGTAAAGGGCATAAAAAGCTAACAGATCTGCCCTTGCTTTTGACAGCTTAAAGACATGTGGACATGATCTTTGTGCTCCAAAGGGTGACCAGAAAAACCGAGGAGAGAAAAACAAAGGAGGAAAAGGAACCGGGGACAGAGGGAAAGAGAGGGGGGGAAAGGAGGAGGGACCTCGTTGACAAATCTGCTCTGTTTTTCTTTTCTTTCTTGTCTTTTTTGAGGCCTTTTCTTCTCTCGCCTTTTCTCTTTTCTAACTGCGGCCATGTGTTTAATATCAAATGTAATCTGTTCCAGGCCTTGGGTTGTGGCTACACGGGGAGGAGTGGGGCTAAAACTGGGACGCCCGTCATCTTTAAACTCGAACTAAAAGCTAAGACCTGCAAACATAACTCAGCCCAGGACGTAAGGACTGATCACTAAAACCGTGCATGAGTACATTGGTGATTTGTGTGTGTGTGCATAGTACACGCATGCACACAAAAAAACAAACAAGCAAAGTAGATTGACATTTTGATAACCACTGGTCTTGCTCGGACTGTAATTAAATCCTAAATATGAGCGGTGGCTATTAGTCAAGTCGGTGACAGAGGGTCGTTTTGCTGAAAAGGCCTCTTTACCTTTTAGAAAGCACCTCCCATGCACTTGATGATGTACTACTTCTGCTATAATTACACAAAACGTCAAATCCCACATGCCTGCCATGGCTGAAATACCATGAGTGTGACCGGCCGGGGCCGTATGTGGGCAGTGGGCTCGTGTCCGTGCTCACAGTGCATCTGGACGCGTTTGCACGCATCCCTGCGTAATCTGTGTGTGTTCTTGGAAGTCGGCGGGACCTGGAAAAAGTGCGGATGAAATATGGTTCTCATTTGGCTTTCTGCCCGCACAGCCCCCCCCCACCCCCACCCCTCCAAAACACCGCTGCTGGCCCAATCCCCCCCATGCCTTCCCTGGGCCATTTGGTCAGACGAAGGTGGGGGTGCGAGCTTGGTTTATGTTGGCAGGGTGTGAGACAGGCTCCATAACCAGCCAGAAATCTTGTTGAGTAACAACTCTACTATGGAGAAGGGGTGGGTGGGCGGTGTGGGAAACTGGGGTGCGTGTGTTCGGCCATCTGCGTGTCTGTGCGAGCGTGGAGAGCTCCTTAGGCCAAAAAAAGAAAAAGAAAAAAAGAACAAAGCCTGCTCGGACGCAAACTGAAGGGGGCACTGTTGCTCTTGACTTCTGCGCAATTTAGTGCATGTCTCTGATTTGCTTTGACAGCAACGTGTGTGTTTCGAGTGTGTGGATAAAGCAAATTACAGCAGTGCCGTGCCATTAAAATGTAGCCAAGAATCAAATGTTGTGGAAAAAGACGAGTGTGTTAACTACGTTGAAAAACGCTTTCCACCAGGTCCGGCCCCTCACTAGTCACTGACGGGGTGAGGAGGGGGCAGTATTCCTGGCAGTGGATGATGCAGGAGAAAAGAATGGCTAGAAACCATTGTGACTCAGGATTTCTTCAATTTTCTCCTCATCCTGTTGCTCCTTTAAATTGGAGCATTTTGCGTATCTTTGATGCGTCCCTCAAGCAACACAAGTAAGAAAATCCACCACAACATTCAGTATCATTGGCATGATTCAGCAGTGACTCACTGTTATTATACACTGTTAGTACAGGCTCCGTTCAACCAAAGTTTACAAGGAATGAATAAATAAATCTGAACATCTGACTCATTTGTGGGGTTATATGAAGCATCATTGATTACAGAAGCCATCGCAACATGAGAAGGTTGTAAATTAATTTTGATCAAAGTGCTCAATGACAGACCAGTAAAATTATTTTTTCTTTTAGGGACAGATCTTCAGCTCTGTTGATCTTTTCTTTTTTTTTTAAATCTCTGGAACTGGATTTGCATGTAACCTTTACACATCCTGATCAACCATTTGCTAGAGCACATTTTCACTGATTATAATTCACAATTCCATTCTGTTGGGTTACTTCTAATAAAGAACAGGCTCATCACCAACGGCCCCCTTTAAAATTTTTGGTATTGTTTTCTATTGTTTTCTTTTTTTAAAGTTTAACTAAATTTCCATGCATATCTTTGACGAACAGATACATTAACACACCATGGTAACCATCAGCTTGAGCTGCCAAATCCTCAACAGAACATGACTGCCATGAATATTCAGTTTTTGTGACCTCGACCACAACTGGAAGGTAACACAAATTTGTAGCACGTAGGGGAAGTAGCATTTCATATAGAAGCAATCAGGCCTCTCAGACCTCTTAATAAGGGTTTTCGAGCAGAGTGCATTGCTCGTTGCTCATTTTCTTAAGATTCCGAATGTTGTAATTATTCATTATATATCTGGCCACGTAGTGGTCTCTTTCGCTGCCTAATTTGGACAAATTTGGCTTCATTTGGTAAACTCTTACACAGGAGATCGTCCTCCCAAACCACAGTGCACTCCCGTTCAGACTGGACATGACGGACACCATGCACGTCCAAGAGAACTGCATGTAACCAGTGCAGCTTAATACCGTGGACGTGTGAATGGTCAGCGTGGCAGTTGACTTAATTTATGGAGTGTGTTTAATGAGGCAGAAAAAAAACCAAACACTGTCGGTTTCCTGTAAACATCCTTGTGTATCACAGGACAGAACATGAGAGAGAAAGGGAGGACGGCGGAGCAAAACCAGACCTGGCCTTGAGTGTCTGTGTGTTCTGGCAAGAGGGACAAATGACCCAGTAGATTTATGCAGAGAAGAGACGGAGAGGAGTTCTACAGGAAGAGGATTTAAATCTGTGGACAGTACAGCAGAGAATTGAAAACTCAATTCTATTCTGTACACACAAGAAAAGGAAAAATAGCAAAAGACAGCAGTTTCAAGGGAACTTGCCTACTTTAAAACATCACAAGAGGCAGGTGGGCTTCTGGGAATGTTGTGACTAGTGCGTGAATGCCTTTATGGCTCCAAATCAACCAAAGTGATGTTACTTAATTACGCGCAGATTGTCGTCCGAACTTAAGGTTTAAAACCTATCTGTAGATGTGGGTATGAAAAGAGGTCATATTGGCTCCTCATTTCTGCTTGATGCCTCCTTAAAACAACATTACAATTTATGTTGCTGTTCCTGTAAAACTTGTAAACAGATGTGTGAACATAAGCATAATTCCAGGTTTTGAGATTCTGTATGTCAAGAAATACATTAAAAAACTTTGAACAAATGCAAAAAACAAGCCAAAAATAAAACATAGTCTGGTTCGCATCTATAAAATAAATCAATACCAATGTAGTTATAGTTTTCTTTGAGTATAGATGGATGAAACATGGGAAAATGCAAGGATCTGAATGGGGGTAGTAAACCAAAAGTCTTCTTCCTTTAATGTATTTTGGCATCTTTACCAGTTTAAAAGAAAGTCAGCAGTAAGCAGGAATAGGGTTGGAGGAAGTAAAGCACCATCTTTGGGGGTATTTTATCAGCTTACTGAGTAAATTCATGCACACAACATCCAAGATAGAGAGAGTGCTCTGCAGTGAAAGAGCAGAAAGACAGCATACACGACAGAAAAGGTTCCATTTTGTTATCTTATTCTCGACAAGAACATAGAGTACGAGCTGTTCAGGTGAAAGTAATCTACTTGATTTATGTAGAAGGGGTTTCAGCTTGAAAAGCCTTCCACGTTGGAAAAGGGAGCAGAACTCAGACCGAAGCAAACACCAGAGGTGGACCAGCGTGTTGCATTTTATCAAAGGGCCAAATCTCTGCATTTCCTTTGACACTTTTATCTTTAGATGAAAAGTTTTTCTAAAAAAAATACAAAAAAAATACTACTAAGAGACACAAAAAAATAGGCAGTCAGATAAAAATATTGGATAAAAGCAGCCAAAAGTGTGCACTGCTCTTTCTGACAGATAGTTAAAGCTCAGGCTGAGCTGGGATTCATTTATGTGGGGAGATAACGACACACTGAAAATCACTTGTTGCCAATTTCTGACTGATCTGTAATACATCCGACTGAAAGGTGACTATTAGCATAGAATTCCTATTAGCATAGAAATCGTTTTTCTCAGATATTTTCTCAAATATCTTCTCTCCATGTATGATAGCTGCCTCTTCTCCCAAAACAGTTTCTGTAACAACAGGGACTTCCTCCCCCACATACCAGGTAAGTACAGAGGGCACAGCTGGCCAGAGGTGCTGGGTCTGGTTCATTTACAGTGAACGTGACAGAATGTAAAAGGCTGTCAATACAGTTTTCGCCAAGGCACGCTCCATTAAGGTCACAAGTGGATGAATATGTAATGTAAATGACATTTAATCTGAGATGATCTTTAAGATGCTTCAGCAAAGCCTCTGCTGGCAGCTTGGTTTATGCAGACTGATGTCGAACAGAAGCAACACCATCATCTCCTTACCTTTAGAAATGACGCTTTCTGGATGACGGGGACCGTTTTGTGTGAACTTTCTTGTGTCGTTTTGAGAGAGGAAGTTGGGACTACCTAAGCAGGTACAGGACAGACATAACGCCAAGAGACAGGAAACATGCTTTCATTATGTGAGAGAGTGATTTTTCTTCCGAGAGTAGACGTTTAGCTGATACCTTTGAGCCAAAAGAAAACCCCTCTTCAATGTGCCATTTATTAACTTGTCTCATATCAATCCCCCTATTCTAACCCTAGGACATCCACATATTTGATCTATAACTAATTAAAATGTATCTGAATAACGAAAACTTAAGACTTAAAAACAGCCCGACTGTTATAATAAATGCATTGTTAAGGTATTTAAAGTTCAATGAGCCACACTGAAATTATTGGATTTCTCTCCAGGCACGCTGCCTGCACCTGAAAGGGGAAACGATGTATTCCACTGTTGTCAAGTCTAAGGCGGCTCTCTAAAACTCATAGTCTGATTCACTTTGTTCCACTGACCTAACACGAGCCGCTCTTATTCTTCATGTTGCGACGTTAATTATCCTGGTTTAATGTGCTGTAAAACGCTGCTCCGTGTGGCCTGACGTAACTTTGGAGCACTTGACCTTCACTTTGCTGTGTTTAAGGTACAGCCATCTGCAGGGTCCGGCCTCACGCCCACATCCATCATCCCCCCGCCGCCACGCGTGGGGAGTGGAAGATAAAAACCGGATATGGCGCGAACAATGTTACCATCAATATAGATATTTAGCAATATTGTTCGGCATCTTTATCCCGTATTACACCGTTCATGAGCCGTGACGGTTAAAACAAACTCCCCACCACATACTGTACTCTATATACAGATCTGCATGGGAACTCTGAGTGTTTAATGAAAGACTAAAGTTGACATTTATATACCCCTTGGGAGACCTCATCTTAATCAAGCTGTTTGCGACACTATTCTATGCCTAAGTGTAGGATGGCAAAACAATCTCTGCTTTGTAAGGAAGCCATCGTTGAATAACTGAGGCCAGTTTTTATCCCCCCTATTATTCTTGGTGAGGTAAGAACAGGGTTAGTTATCCTCAGCTCTCTGTTATTTGGGCATTCCACTATCTCTGCTGCTTTTGTTAGCTTTCCAGAACACAAATCAGGGTGCGCAGCTTTTTATTCACGCTCGCGTTTCCCAGCCGAGACAGAAATAGGTGTTTCTCCACACCCCCCCCCGATCCTGGTGGTGCGCGTGCAGGGTCTGAGGGGGCAGAGTAGAGGGGATGGAGTGTTTTTACATGGCAGGGCGCGGCCAGTTTCTTATGCCTGGCTCGGCCTCAGCCGTTTCCAGAGGCGGGCCCAGATCCCCTCGGCCACCCGCGCTCTGCTCTGCCCACACTGCACACCGCCCCGCAAATGACCGGAGAGCAGGTTCGCTTTCAGAGCCAGGGGAAACTCTGTGCCCTCTTGCCTTTGGGGTTCATATATCGGGCTTAAGATGAAAAAAAAACTACTGCGAAGCCAAGCACAGTTCTGCTACGCGCACTGGGCTGAAGGCACTGGACCACATGTACACACAGACGCACAAAACCTGCCTCCACCGCCACTTTTCCTGGCGTGACTGAATGTCACAGTACACCGGTGGAATAATAAAAAGAATCTCATCGTGCAAAATCCGTGCAGGAGAGTCCGCAGACTCGCACAGACTACACTTTTCTGGCTGGCATAATCACTGGAACCTCAGGGTGAAAGTGGAGTTGTAGGAGATGGAATATTCCCAGCAGGTTGTGAAATACAATACAGCGGTAATTGCAAAGTAACTTTGGGGTCTCGCCTGCTGAGCTAGAATCAACAACCACCCACAGAATGTTTAAGACACAGTGATCTACAAAAATATCCTGGAATTACTTGAGGATATATTATACAAAAAGGGTCCAAATTACATCCATACCTAATATTTAAAAGGTCTGAGAGTGGAAACCATTCAAAACACACTGCGGTCTCAGCTAAGAATAGCTGACAAATCATAGGTGTGTTAACATCCACTGGGTCAACGCTCATTGTGCGGAAAGCCAGCAGGTTCTGCTGCTTTATGCAGTACACGAAAAAAAAGAAATCCATAACTTTTGTACGATCTGAAAGCTGTGCTTAACTTACATAGGCAGAGCCTGGCTTAAAAATATCAGATTCGTTGACATAAACTTTGCCTTTGGAGACCTGAGCTCTTCAAGGCAGTTGAATATAGCAGGAACTCTCTTTCTTCTCCTTCTCCTTCTTCTTCTTCTTCTTCTTCTTTCTTGCTCTGCCTCGGCAGCACTTCAGTCTCCTGAACATCAGTGATAAGACTCAACTGGGCCATCTGCTTGGAGATGGCACAAGCAGCAACACTCCTGTGAATCCAGCTGGCCTGGATCAGACGAACGGGCAAAGCCGCCACTGGCGCTAGCTTATTCCCTTCTACCCATCGTCATCCGCGCGTTTGTGTTTTACCGAGCGTGTGCGCGGGTATCTGAAAAAGATCGTCTGGACTTTGAAAAAAGATGTGGAACCTTGCACGCTGCAATCTCAAACTGGGATCAGATCGGCCGCAGATCTCTACTCTACTTCTTAGGAAAACATGGCAAGAGATGTGAGCTCGTCTTTGCAAACACAACACACAACACGTGATCCACTTCCAACCTAACTGACGGAGAAATAGGATCTAAAACTAGGCTGCAACCTTTCCTTGCACACAGATGAAGGTGCGTTCACTGACACGATGAGACGAGCTCCATCACCAATGTGACCCGGCCCTGCCCTCATCCGGCGTGTGTCTAAACCTGGTTGTTAGATCACTGGGGCCTGACATAATGTTGGACTGCCCTGGCCGCAATCCTCTTCCACTCGGCCAAACTCTATTTGTCTGGAGAACCACATTAAGGGGAAAAACCCCCGAGTGGAAGAGATGATGTCGGAGTAATTCCTGCCATGAACAACAGCCCCGCCGCAGGCGCCAATAACCCGCACCTGCACAGCTCAGATCAGGGAGCTGGGCCGCCGGCGCCAAATGCCACTTAGCTCACCCCGTAACAGAAGATGGCTGGTGAGTGTGCCACTCTGTAAGAGTGTGTGTTTCTTGTCACCGGATAAATGAGGATTAATGTTCTGGGCCAGGGTACTGCAAGTCGCAATAAAGGTGTGTGATTGTATAGAGGTTCTATCAATCTCAGTCTTCTCGTGACGTCAACAAACTCATGTTTCAATTTGGGACATTTAGAGGAAAGAGTAACACAAGGAACGTGGAAAGGCAATCTTTTGTGGGAAGTTTTTTTTTTTTTTTAAATCTATGTGATTTTAACAGTTGTTTTTTTTTACCATTTCATGTTAAATTGGCTCCTTCAGAGAAATATGCTGAGGATGAATTAAATCATAATAAAAATGCCAGTTAACAGGAAACTTTATGAATACTGTTTCAACAAACTCACTGGATCTTGCTCTCCTTACGGATGAATGGTAATTACTTCATTACTGAATAATTTTCACCGGATTTGCTGAGTAGGAGTGGGAGAGAAGATATAGCATGCGGCTGGACTTGAATTCACTTTTGAATGCAAGTTCAACAGGAAAAGTAAATAAATAGAATCACCCAATATCCACAAGACAGATGACCCCTATTTAAAAACTGTACATCCCAACCTAAAATCCCTCGATCCGTTTTCTTTACCCTCTTTATCCAATTCAGGGCCAGGAGCTGGAAGCTACCCCAGCTGCCATTGAGCAAGACCTTGGACAGGTCTTCTATCCAGCCAGCATACAACTAGGAACAACCAGAAAAAAACACAACTAGGCATGCTCAGACTCACTTTTAACAAACATAAAAGAACCCAAACATATACGGGTGGAACATACAAACGCCACACAGAGGCAACAGCTGAGAATTGACCCAGGAGTCCCCCACCAATAAATAAATAGGAACACACACGTGCAAGAGAGGAGCAGCTCAATGCAGGCAACCCATTTGACGACGTTCACTCTGAACCTAACCATGCACACTGGGAGTTTCTCCACATTAGGGCACATGTGTCCTCTCAGCTAACTCCCAAAGTTACATTTTTCAGGATCAAATAATTCTGATTTATTCACAGACAGGCATGAACGCAAAGAGCTGCATTCCACTCTCTGATTGGTCCATTTTAAGCTTTATCACACCCACACAGATGTCCATTCAGTGTTTGATTCAAAATCATTACATGAGGCACTGACTATGAAGGGAATAGAAAAACTCTGTTGATTGTATTAAATGTATATGCTTACTCAAGAGTATTTAATTATGAAGTACTCAATTAAGCCACAGGTTTAGGTTAAGGGCAGATTTGATAAGCAGTGACTTTAATATGGCTGCCCTGCCTCTCCAAACTCCCTTATGACTGGACTGATGAAGCCATAGATTTATCAATGTTTTGGTTTATATCTATTTTTGTTTCATGCTTCTGTTAATGTATAGTTAGCTCAGATAGTTGGCAGCAATGATGTCACTGTGAAGTCTTGCCTATTGCCAAAACTATGGAGAAATAAGTTTCACTCACTGGTTCTGAGCTAGGCAGCCAGGGGCCAGGGTGTTTTGGGCGTGAGGCGTTTGCTTGAGGCTTGTGAGGTCCAGCATGTCCACCTGCACATCAGTCACGTGACCAGGTAATGGTCTGAGCGTAGACAGAATCTTCTCCACCAAGTTGTCACCATGATGACCAACAGCCCCTGTAAATAAAGGATACAATGATTAGAATACGGGTTCAAAATTGTACAGTTTGAGTTGTAAATGTAAAACTGGAGCTGACATAAGAAAGGATGTCAGAGCCTGCCTGCAGTCTTAACAACGATAAAAGAAACAGATCCTCACTGATGACGCTCATAGTTGTGGTATGATCATGGTTCTACAACAATAAATATTTTTTTCACACCTGTGAGATCCATTGTCCGGTCAAGTAGGATAAGTGATGCTTTGTTGGGAGCGCTCTTCCTTCTGTTTCTGGCTTGAGGATGACCGGCCAGCTCCCATGCAATGATCCGGCTCATTGGACCCACAGCAAAGCTTTCTTCCTTCGTACCTGTTGCATCAAACATAGCGTTCAATGCTGACACCAAGGATTTGACCTCAAGCTGCAGCTCAGCGGGCAGAGAGTGCATATCCAGGTCGTTCAGGCTGGAGAATCTCTTCTTTTCGGGTCGTTTAGCGTTGATTGTGTCCAGATCTGGGGACAGCAGGGGAAACAGGTGGGCGAACGCTGGCGTGATGATCAGCCTCTCTGACACGGGGGCAAAGACCACAGGAGCATGCAAGACTTCCGCCGTGTAATTCATGTTCCCCATCCACTCACAGAGCTTTTCTTCAAACTGTTCAAACACAGGAGTGCCCTCCATATCCCCTGTGACGTTGTTGGCGAGCAGGTGCACCGAATGAGCCACTGTGGTGAAGACAACACAGTACTGAAAATGACTGAGAGATATGATGTCTTTAATGATGTCGACGGTCCTCCCCTTCAGCAAGGTGCTCACCACAAACACGGCTTTGGGCTCATTTACACCGCACGATTCGAAGCTCGAAAACTGCTTTACATTTCTGGCTCCAGCTTCCAGTAAGGCAGCAGCTCCACCGCACCAGTGAAGTGCCTCTACACACTTGTCATCCATGAAGACAACAGCTTTCTTTACCTTCGGCAGAACCTTCTCCCACAATTGGAGCGGCAGCTTTGTAAAATCCTCAGCGGTCAACATTTTCCCGATATCAAGAATCCACTAAATACAACAAAACAGAAGATACATTGGGGAAAAAAGACAGCTGGAGTCGTCTCTAGAAAACAAACACACGAGTCTCATGAAGGTGACGTGGCACAGCAGCGTCGCGGCATATATACGTCACCCGGCCGTTGCTATAGTAATAGATAGCGGATATCGAAATGGTCCCGCTTAAATGGGGGGAGTTAACAATCTTCAAATAAAGTTTTTTGGGCGATCATTAAAAATTTAATAATTTACAAGCAACTCAAAAAAAGGCTGGCAAACAAGATTAAACAAATATACCAAATGATAATTTAATCATAAAAATTTTGACATTCTATCAGTTTAATATATCAGTTAGTTTAGCACGCGACGATTTTTGTCTGTCTCCATAGAAACGCCATCAACTGATAGTTTAGATGCTCAACAGCTAGCTCAATTTATTTGACGTGTTCCACTTAATTTACCGTGAAGTTACAAGTTTGTGTCCTGCTTTATCGCTAAAAACGAGATTTCCTTTGCTGACATGTCAGCATCTGAATCAGACTCCATGGGTGCTCCAGAGGAAGAAGACGAGGGCAAAATTTATCAATGTAGCTAAGTTTAAATAACACGTCTTGTGATGTACTGCTTGTTAAATGCGTCTATGCGTCTGTATATAAACAAAATAGTTCATTATTAGAGATAACTCGATTAACTTTACAATCGATCCTTGAGCAAAGTAGTATTTGAGTATTTGATTTTGTTGGAATGAGTCGTTGAGTCACGTGTCCATTTTTCAGGGATATATGAACTCAACCCAACTGATCTAGTGGAAACATTCCCTTACAGGTATGCTAGTTGTGTTTTGTGTGCATATGACCACCACTTTCCTTCCCCTAACCACAAGGGAATTGTGTTATGTGTGTTAAGAAGTTAAACATATAGATATGACTGGCCAAAAATAGCAGCAAACAAAAATTATTTATTAATGTGTAGCGTGCTTGTTTCTCCCTACAATCAAGATCACTGCTGTTACACAATCCTTTGGCAAATAATACTATTACATTCATTGGTAGAATACTTATTTCAGTCAGTCCCAGTTGTTACAGTACACAAAGTATTGTTGGACACCTTTAACAAGGGGAGGGTTATATTTGCTTATCTATTTCTACATTCTGGTGAATATATCTGTGTGCCCAGTGATAATGCAAATTTCCTGGGGACCCAAACAAAGATTTTTTAAAGTTTATTAAATACAAAAAGTGTTCAAGGCTGTATGATCTAGAGTGGAATTAATGAATAATGAGGTGAAGACAGAATACTCACTTGTTTAATCTATTCTGGGTGCAGTGTAGTTACGAAGCTTTCAGTCCAAAGTGTTTCACAGTCCAAAGCCAAACATGTGGAACATTAACACACATTTAATGCTTGTTAAATATGCTTCCATGAAAACAGCATTCATTTCTAAGCTGGAAAATGTGACTTACCAGTCACACAAGCAGAACTCTGACGATATCTGCTGTTTGCGTGTCAAATTTGAATAGTAACACGAACAAACCAATTTAGGTAAGGAAGGTTTTGCTACTGCTTTTTTTCCTCTTTTTTCATGTGAAATACTCATGTTTTTGCCACTGGTTGATATTACGCCCCTGATGGCTGACATTTAGAGTGTCACATCAAAAATATAATTCATTAAAATGTCTGATGTCTAGGACAGGCACAATGCTACCGGTGCATTTTTACAAATACACAGCTTTGCATGTGAAAAAAGCACTTGCTTATCATCCATCTACTGACAAAATTTGGATGAATCCCCAGCTTTAAATCTGGTTTTCTGCGTGTTGGCTATAATGCAAATTTATGCTATTTGTCAGAAACCCCCCTTTTCTCAAGGCATGACTGTGAAAGGCCTTTTTTGAATTTGTTATAGCCTCTTCTCTAAACAATACAACAAAATGAAATTTTAATGTTGAGATTTGTCTGATAGCACAAGGTCAATGCAAAGCAGCTTACTGAAGCAATAAAATGTAACAACTTTCATTTCTTTTATTTCCTGCAGCTCACCTTTGCACCTTGAGATTAATACAGAAAAGAGCACACATGCAGCAGGTAAGCAGCTGCTCTGACATATACTCTAAATATGGACCAGATGACTCAGAAAACAACCGAATTGCAAAAGCAGAGAGACCATAGCTTCTATTCTTCTTCATTTGAGATATAAATTGATAGAGACTCTTTGAACAGCAGTCTTTTTTCCCCACATGTCTTCATTACAGTTCATTACAGTTGATTCATGTTTTACTGATGAAAAATATGAATGATTTACAGAATCCCCAAAGGAACATGACTCTAATCTGTCGGAGAATGGCCGACAAAAAAAGAAAAAGAAGCGGAGCGAGCAGTGTTTAGAGAAAAAGCCATGGAAGAAACCTTGTGAGTGGTAACAAATAAGCCCATGGATAATGCGATTAGCTTCCTGTGTGTTTCACTGAGAACAGTCTGACTCAGTATTTACTGTTTCCCATCTTCTTTTCAGATGCAGACATATCGGATTACTTCAATTATGGTTTTAATGAAGAAACCTGGAGCGCCTACTGCAAAAAACAGACAAAACTGAAAGCGTTCAGAAAAAAACAAGCCAAAATCATGGTAACACAAGGCTTTTGTGATGCGATGCTGTCTTTTTGTGAAAATGCACCAGAGCAGATTCCATTGCTCTTGTTTTGATTTAGACTGAAATCTTCTCTGAGTAAATCACAGAGCAGTGGGTGACCTGGACTCTGTTGTTGTTGTTCTCATCAGACCCAGAAGGAGCATGCTGGATATGTGGAGGAAGTTCCAAGTTGTTCTCATTCCTCCTCAAGCGGTCCATCCATTGCTGCCTCCAGGTTGGTTGCCCGTCTCCTTACTAGCTGCCACCCCACCTGATTTCCCATTCTGTGATACAGCTCTGAGCTCAGAGCGGTGGGAAGTCAGCAGCTGGTGTTTCCATTTGTTAGGGACGCGATAGTTATCTGGCTGGTGCCATCTGTTATCTCTGATCCTAAGATGGGCTCAACACATCAGGCGGTGTTGGCAAATGTTGAAGGATTTCCAAACTTGCTCCCATTTGTTAATGGCTGGGGTAAATGATCATGGAAGGAGTTATGAACACTTGTGCTATTTTGTATTCACCTGATGGTTTCCACTTATAGCAGCCATGGAACTGCAATTATTTATGGCATAGCCTGCATTTTTTATGAGATTTTATCCAAAGCCATATTTAATAGACTACTCCAAAAAAGACTAACATCCAGAGCCGTACAAATGGGATCCCTGAAGAAATACAACATTGAGATATCCTGATGGATGCTGAGCCTTTCGCAGCCGGTTTTAATTGGTTAAAATATCTCTGTACAACCCGGTCTAGGCAAGAATTTAGAAATAAGTAAATCCATCGTTACTTTTGTTTCTCTATATGGATTTGTTATTTTTTTCCTTCGCTCACTCACACAAAAGATCTTTTCCATTTCCACTTGTCTCTATTTATTGGCTTAAGATGCCCATCAGAGAGGTGGCAGTCAGCCGGTTCCTACTCAGAGAACACGGCACTTAATTAACCATCCTTCCCTCGATGACGTTCTCTTTCAGTGGCAAGGTTACCCCTCAGGCAAGGTCTTTTGAATTCGAGGGCCTTGTGGCATATCGTGCGTCTTCCTCTCCTCCTGTGACGGGGTGGAACCAGAGAGGGAGCAGGAAGCCATGCTGTAGCTTGTCAGAGACAAATACTCGTGGTGTAATCCACGGGATGGCGTCTTCAGCGAGGTGTGGCAGCTTTGCCTGCTGCTTCCCTCCGTTATCCCGTGCTCGTTAATCTGAGTGGGATTTTCTCAGCCCGTTTGATATGCCTTCCAAAATATTCATCCTTTATAATACAAGCGTTTTTTTTTTTTGTTAATTTTTCCTATCCAAATTTGTGTTTTACGATGATAAATGAGCTGTTTGTTTTATTTAAAAGGAAAAAGGTTTCAGTAAATGTGTGTGTGTGCTTTTCAAAGCCGGAGTGGATAGCGAAAGAGACACGGAGCAGCTGCAAGCACTTCCTTAATGAGCGGCCATCAGATGTAGTTTTTGCTGCCTTTTATTTCCCTTTTTGCCTCTAATGCTGATTAAGTCCAAGTGACAGAAAGGGGTTAGTGTCCCATCTATGTGTGTCTGCGTGCTTTTTTTTTTAGTGAGGGCGGGGTTTAGCAAAGTAAAAGGCTATTTTGTGAAGAAAGCAAGTTGACCCAGATAAGGATTTAATGTGTTAATGGTCCTGCGGAGGGTTGAAGTTGGGACATATGCCATGAGATTAGGTCAAACTAATGGCCTGCTTTTTAAAATGTTATGAATGCACATCAGTGTAACATATGCTCCTGCTTTCTGGGAAGCATGACAAATGACTTATGTCTGAAAGGGTCGTTTGCTATTTCAGGGCAGCGTGTCATAACTTTGTAGTAAGATGACGTGTTTCTGTTTGCTGTGTTGTATAAGCGTGATGTTTATCATATTACAGAGAGTCAAATACCGGCGTTGATGCGAAGGGAGGGAAAGATGGATGCAGCAGCTCAGAGGAAGGGCGCCCATGTAGCGCCGATGGATCTAGCAATGTGAGTCAGTGTTAATGCTTTTAAATAGGGGACTGATAGTAGGAAGAAACAGAGCCTTTTGCCCTCAAGGAGTGAGTTCGTAATGCTTTCTGACACGTATGGAGGAACATTAACCCTAACATCCCTCACAGAGAACAGTCACTGTTAATCAATACAAAGTTGTTATGTGTGTCCTCCTTCAATCCATAATGGAGCATCCCTGTCCCTAGGGGGGGGGGAAGACACCAAGGATGACCACATCCTTATCAATAAGACAAAAGGGGTCATTTAAGGGTTTGATAAATGTGAAACCAGGCGAATGCAATGCTCTAAGACAAATAAGAGAGCTCCAACAAAGTTCCTCTGTGGAACTGCCAGATGATTAACAAACCCTCAATGAATGGG